TTTTTCGTGACATTACCTTCTGTTTCACACGAGTAATAAATTGACTTAAATTACCAAAAGAATTGCGTTGCAATAAATAGGAAATATTTCTACGGTAAATAGTACTGTATGCAGTTGAGTTTTCATAAGCTTTTATGGTTGGTAGAATCTTTAATGTTTGTGGTACTAGTGACACTACTAGTTACGGCATTTCAAATATTTTTTTCTGACATTACTACCCATCCAAATACAGTCTTATCGAACTGATGCTGTCAAATCTAGACAATGTGAAAACAATGAAGCCAAGCAGAAAGAAAATGGCTCCATTGCAAAAATTCATTTTTCAAACTTTATATGTAGACGCATATTGGAGCACAGATCGGTGGTGCCGATATGATATGCAGGGTATAAATGTAGGCTGCGAGCTTGAGTGCCAATGTAGGCATTTAGTGCTTGGAGGAATATTGACGAATGACTCAGTGAAATATGTTGGTAACTGTTGTTATACTTGTGCGTACGCGTGACGGATGTCGATGCACTTGGATGTTCTCAAGTCTACTCACAAATCTACATCTCACTGCAATGATATTCTTATTCGACTTCTCTTCTTTGTATTCCCTTGCTGTTCTTCTTGCCTTTCTACCATTCTCTCTTTTGTTAGCATATACAAGCGTATATTCTGAATGTAAACAGTGCGATTGATAGCAAGAGAACACCTCATAAAACATCATTCCATCCATGATGAAGCAGTTTCTATCAAACATTATCACAAGTAAACGCTCTGAGCTGCATGTTTTCATGATGATTCATTTTGAACTCTTTACAATATCGTCACCTGAACAGATGATAGTCGATTTGAAGACAGTTATTTGCTTACGATGAAATTTTCCCAACAGATTTACGCAATTTTCAATGAAATGTTCCCACGTGTTGAGGGCATGTTTATACGAAAAATTCTAAGAGGATTTGGGCCTATGAAACTTAGTTCGAAGGTTATGATCATTCACTTGTTTTTTTCACGAAGCATAGGGCATATAAAGAAAAATTGAACAAGATAATTCCAATCTGAAACTTCACTCATTTACAGGTGTAGTTGTCATTGGAACACTCTAAAAGTTTCAGTGGAAAAAATATTTCATTATGCAGATGTTCAGTTTAAAAAAAAAGTCAATTTGTCAAGACTTTACAAATTATCAGACAAGTTTTTAAGGATTGATATCTCCAACATATAGATAAAATGCCATTGAAAATGGCGTGAATCAGTTGGGAACCTTCTTCGATTAGAGTGTTCAAAAGGAATTTTGACTATACTAACGAACAAATTTCAGTAGAATAAAATTGAGGCTTTCAATGATGGAAAACTCATTTCACTACCATTCAAAATGCAGTATTAAAATATTTTAAGTATGGAGTTCGAATAAAAGACATTATGCATCAAATATCATAGCTACATTTGTGTCATCGAATACCATAATTTGTTGATACCCTTTTAATACTCGAACATTTCCAAACAATTTTTTTACTGCCTTCATGCCATCATAAACGATATTTATGTTCTAATCATGACTTATAATAAACAGTCACTAATAGAACAATACTTATTTTTTTATTATATGTGCATGCTAGCTAGTGTTGTTGCGGAATAAAACTTTTCAAAGAGCTTTAAAACATCGAAATTGAGATGAATGAAACTCAGTCATCATCAGCTAAATACCTTGAGAGTCAGATTATTTTCCCAATCTTTGGTGCTTTTACTAGTCTACTGTATAAGGTCCATACTAGTAAGGGTAAACGATTTTTGTCAAGAACTATTTAAAGTACAACATATAATAAAATTTTATCAAAAGAATTTTAGAAATCTAATGAATTTCGTACCTTGCTTTGAATTGATCAAAGTGTTTGAAAGAAAAACAAATTAGAATTAGAATACTTAAGTTTATTTGAAAAAAACTTTCTGACTGATCACACTTTCTTATCACTCAAGTTGAATATAAAAAAATTGATTAACTCATTGAGTTAACCATTTTTATTCTGTACTATGTAGAATATGATTTGATACAATAAATCATCCATGGTAAATAATTGAATGAAATGTTTTTTGTAATGTAATTTATTTTCCTAGCATTCATGATTTGAAAATACCTTAACTCGGTATATTATTCATAATGTCACAGGTAATAGTTGATCTTGATTAAATGACTTACGTTTGTTTCTTCTTTTTGTTTTTGCAGGCTTTTTATGAAATCTTGTTCAATGGTCTACAGTTAGAATTTTCTAAACTTCAAAAATGTTATAAATATTGCTTCTGAATTATTAATCATTACTCTAGGTTAAAAAACATGAAACTAAAAAAATTTCAAAATCTCATACTGTATCTCCATGACAATAAAAGATCATTTCGATTTACGGATTGTGATAATGATGTCTCATAAAGTTTCTGGTTCACAAACAAATAGATGACTTCGAATAAATAGACTCTACGTATTTGACCCATACATTATCACATAGTTATAGCAGCAGTTGCATCAAAAGCTAGTGTCCATACGTTGATATTTGCACACGAAACTTGCACAGTGGAGTATTTTTCTGTATCTAGATGGAGCGTGAAATTTAGAGATTTTTTTAGTTTCATCTTTCCTATATCAATATGATAATTGGCATTTAAAGAAAGAAAATTAGACAAGTTTCCAGCAGAAAAGTTTTTTTTATTTTCAGGTCTGAATAGAATTGAAAAAAAATTAAAGAAAAAAGAATGAATGAAGCTGATCATATCAATCCTAGTTGCTGGTCACTTTTCGTCGCTTTTTGTGTAACAAAAATATGTTAATGCCTCATTTTGACTTTCATAAACTGATGTGTGATAATGGACGCGTCAGAGTGGTTGTACGTGTACATGTCAAAGGGTCAGCTGCCCCGGTGAGTTCAAGTGAAGACTTCCTTTCAAAATTACCTTCCAGACACCATTCCTTTCGATTATATACTCTCACTACCGTTAGCTATGCTATCCTCTTTTTGTTAAACATCCGCTCCAACTCAATCGTCTCCGTCTTGCTTGCTAGTGCAACAACTTTCCAGAGCTCGCTGAACACTGTTACACTCATGACGGCGGTACTTGTTACTTTATTCTCTATTATATTAGAATTTAAACCTTATTTTTCGATCTATTGATTTTTCTTTATGCATCACAAAATTGACTCATCGTCTTTGTTAATCTTGTATACAACTGCTGATTGTAAACAAAGAGAGCTGAAGTTTGTTGACGCACGTATCTTATGGGATAAAGATATAGAGATAAAATCATCCAATGAAGGTATCATTTGACCACTGTCCTTTTTGAACTCTACCGTTGGCATAGTAAAGCGAGCCTTGTCCGTTCATTTTGCCATCCTTGAATTGTCTCATGAATTGTCCCATGAATTATTCATAGATTGCATCATCTATCCTTTCCTCTACGTTGACTGTCACAAGAGATCAGGAGTAGACATTTGTGAATGCTCTTTCTCGTATCGATCGCCATCAGGCCACGTTAAAACGCCTTGATCTCTTCTGTGGTCATCGACCCAATCACCTACATACGTGCTACCACTCGCATAATAGTACGTACCTTTTTCATGTTTCTTTTCATTCTTTCATTCACCTTTGTTGTTATTCGCATTTGATGTGAAAGATCTTATATGCCTTTCATCAACACCGAACATCGAAACTTACCGACATATGATATTCGAACTGTAGTATCGTATTTGTTTCCATTTCCATCTGCCCAGGTTTTAAATGTTGAAGTTTTATTGCTTGGCAATGTTTCTTTGTAACCTAGTGAGCAGCAGTCAACTTCTGCTTGACCTGTTGCAAAAATCGACTTACCTACTGGAGGCTTCGCTGGTGTAATGACGCCCATATTTGCAAAACGACGATGTCAATTCTTGATCATTTTCATCGGTCAATTCGCTTAAATGTACTATGTTTAATGACTCATGGTCTAATGCGTCACATACAACACAAAGCCGAGTGCCCAATGGAAGAATAACTTCATTTTCTTCTGGAAAGTTACTATATGCTGATATAACTTGTCCATTCTTTGCTTCGATCATGAACAGTGTTGATAATGATCCAAGAAATTGTTTTACGACTTTTACTGCGGATGAACATGAACTAAAACACCACCAAGTTAATACATCATTTTCTTTGTAGTTCTTACTAATGTCACTATTGATACTACGCCATAGGTTAATTTGAAGACTTGGTAGTTTTTTCAATGCCGTGGCAAATAATTTGAGATAACCATGCGATGGTACTAATACTGATCGATCTTTCTCACGAAATACTGTGTTGAGTACACAATAGAGACTTTTTGTCACTCCAATCCATAGTGTAAAGGTAAATGGATGCTGATTCTTCACGACTAAGACCATGTTCTGAGGGAAAATGATATTCAGTCTTTGCAATTTTAATAAATTCATCTAATTGCTCTATTTGAGAGAGAATAGGATCAAGAGCTTGTCGAAGTGGCAGTAGTGGATGAGTGCGATATCCATAGATAGGTGGAAGCCTTGTTGGTTTATGATCGACGTTAGTGAATCGAAGCATTCTGATAGAATACACAGAGTTTCTTTTTTAGTTTTGACGACGTTGTATTCACTTATGATGATAATGCGACGATGAAGTTGTCGTATGTCTAATCTTTCAGACATTTTTCTTTCGCTTTCTATTTGCTAACTTCAGACTTTTTTATGTCATACCAGTGCAAAAAATGTTCTGTTTCTTTATTTTATTTGGTTATATTGCATTGAATTTCTCAGAATAGAAGAAAAGTTATTGATTTAAGAGCGAATATTCTTTGTTGACATCGTTCTATGCAGACACGCATCACTCATAGAAAAACGATATTAGCAGAAAGAACGAGAAGAGTAATGCAAAGAATAGCTGATTAGCAGAGAAAAATTCAAAATTGATTCAATACTTTATGATTATTTACAAAAACGACCTTTATTTTAAAATGATATGTCCTTATATACAGATTTTAGAGTTTGATATTAGAAGTTCATATCTTACATTATAGGGTGAAGCTTTCGAGTTAAATAGCGTTATCGTGCTCTACAAAATCTACGTTATACCAAACCATTGGAATGAAGAATATAATTGACTAACCTGACCAAATCATACTTCTCACTTTCTTCCAAACTTCACCATGCCATATGATCATTTCGTTTGAATCTCAAGTTACAGTTCTGATTTTAAAAAAAATGTGTAGTAATATTTTAAAACAACACTGCATCCGTTTTATTTTTTGTATGAAACGGCGTTGAATATTAATTTCAACAAAGTTCTGATCGTTCCACGCAAATGAATGCAATATTGTCTTAATTCTTACATTTTCAGACATGTTTTATATTTAATTCCTGATCACGAATAAAATTTAAGTCAGTAAATTTCGTGAGTATATCGATTCATCGATTAAAACTAAATCAATAAAAGTATTATTCAACATTCAAAATATTTCTTTTACGCACAGTGCATTAAGTTTGCTTTCTCTAGTTCATATATGTATTAACAAATCAATTGTTATAGTAAAGCAAAACAAAAAAAGTAAATTCGTCTGTGTTGCCGTCAAGGTAAGCACAATAGTCATGGATTAATACGTGTCGAGATGAAGAAAAACTTCAATAAATGTGATCTCCTTCAAGATGGAAAGAAATAATGCACACAGTTGTAATAATATATTCGAAGTGGGAGATATTTGTTTTTCTTGCGCATAAAGTACTTCTTTGTAGTGTCATTTATCCACTTTCAATACACAGTGAAGCATTACGTGAGCGATTAGTTGGCATTTTCTTTGCAAATCACTATTAGTTTGTTGGATTTATATAGAGAACGCTGAAGAAACGGATACATATATATCGCTTTGTTACAACTAGCTTGTGGCAAGAATAAGCAGAATACATCAACATGAATTTGAAATAACAATAAGTCATATGAGTTTCTTTCAATATAAAGAATATTGACTGATAAATAAATATGTTCACAGTAGTGATACACAGTCAATTAACACAAAATGCCATTAATCAAAATATTGAGAATTTCGAGGATGTGGGTGAGGAGGTCGGAGTGGGTACGGGCGAGTAAAGAGAGTATAACACCCACACCCACATCCGCCTCCATAATTCTCGAAATCAGTAACTTTTTTTTTCCGTTTATTAAAGTAGAAAGAGCCATTTTTAAGCATGAGGGAAGCAACAAGCAAAAGCATTGATGTGAAGAAACTTGAAGAGCGTGTTGTGGATGGGTTTGAGTGTCATCTCGTCATTGGCCGACACCCACATTCACACACGATCAATAAAAAGCCGATTGGTCCAGAGCTAGATAGTGAAAACAAATGATTGGTTGGAAGTACAACACAACACAGCACAACACAAAGTAGGCATCTGAAATGATTAATCTGATGTCTCAGAAATTTATCTGAACACGTGACTCTAAACGTTCATGCACGTCAAAAACAATACATAGAAACTTATTTTATTTCCTACAACTCTCCTTTCTGCCATGAGAATTTAAAGTGTAAGAATGTATGAAAAAAACGCGGACAACAATTTTTTTGATCGTTTCTCTATTGCAATAGTGTTTGTGCAGCGCATTTAAAATGTTATTCGTAGTAAGAGTTCTAAGTCACAACCTACATAGATTTACTATAATAAAAAAAAAGCATTATTATCGATTAGGGAATATGAGTAACACGGTAGTCAACATCAACAGGAACCTTTGTAGTGTCAGTTTAAGGATTCGCCAATGCCCAAACTTGAACTGCTGTTAATTCACGCCTATAAAGATAAAATTCATCCTGAGCACCAGTAAAAACACCTCCATAACTTGGGCTGCAGTAGGTTCGACCGCCATTTCGAGTATTCAAGTTTTACGTCGATTAATGGAGCTGTAGTTGACAAATGATTCAATATTAGATTGATCACATGTATTGATGAACAGCTCTATCACTACCCAATACAATACGCATTGGAACACCAGAGCCCGAAAACGTAAAAGAACCTGTCGTCGAGTATTGGGTACCATTTATATACAATCGAATACCATTGGTTGTACTATAAGTATAGCTAATATGTGTCCAAGTATTTAACGGAAGAATTGGACCATTTGTGGCTACATTGGAACCATTCCAATAATTAGCAACCAAGTGTCCACTCGATGTCATTACTAAAACATGAACACACCAACTAAATGGTTGTTCTACAAAAACAAGTGTTTCTTGCAGATAACTTCCTGTCGGCTCTGCCCACAAAGCTATACTAAATGGATGACCACTGATGCCTAAAAAGTAAAATGGAGTATATGAATAGTGTATGTAGGGTCCCGCATTAAATTGCAGCGCTTGATTAACTCTACCAGTTGTAGTTGATAAATTTCCAGAAGCAGTTCCATTAATACCATTAGGACCATTGTCTGTAAGTGAACCACTATCAAATGAGTAGTAAACATGTAGAGTAGCATCGTTCAGAATTTCAGTCGAATTTTTAGCTCTAGCCTCAAATCGTACATTGTCTATGTAACCATTGAACGCAACTGCAGTACCTGAGTGAAAAGTGGCACCAATAGTTGTGTTTCCCCATAGACCATTGTAGGCACTAGCTGAATGTGAGCCATCAAGGTTACCATCAAGCCAAACTTGTTGCGTCATTGTGACCGAATCATAGACACACGCTACATGATACCATGTATTCATTGTTAGAGTGGTTCCACCCTGTACGTCGTTAGAATAGAATCCACAATATAATTTGTTGTTTCGAACTATGAAGAATAAGCACAAATTGTAACTTATTGCTTGACATTGACCGAATATTCCATAGTCGTTGCTACTGGAAAAACCAATAGGATAGATCCATGCTTCGATGGTGAAACTACGCGAATTGAACGGAAGTACTTTCGGCGTAATATAAACATACTGAGTAGAGGATCGGGTAAGATCAATGGCAGCACCGTATCCAGCAAAACTGGTTGTATAGGTTGGACTGCCGGAGAGAACACCATCGAGATGACTATTGTACAGTTCGAGTGCATTGTTATCAAATGACCAAAAGGCACTAGCTACGTCTTCAGCAGTTGTAGTAGTAGTAGCTAAAAGACATGATCAAACAATGAACGATTACATCGAACAGAGCAAAAAGATCTTGAAAAAGCCAGCTGAACTCAAGGAGATCTATATTAGTTGTAATTGATATCACTAAAAGGAACTCTTAAAAAAAGTGTTTTGATCTCAGAAGAGCTCTCATGAGTGTGAAGCCATTTTCGTTGACAGATATAAGTCGTAGACGCGAGACTAAATGACTAGGATAACTCAAGCTTTCATGTCTATTCTTTGCAACAAAGTAACAGCACACGAATGATTATTATAGTAATTTTTTACTAATGATAGTAATTGGCTCAGAGAAGTAATTAATAATTTTCTATTATGTATTTAGATCGAAAATAAATATCATGATCAACAGCATATTCTAGACATTCAAAGTGAAGCAAATGAATTTTTTTAAATTGAAATTATCAAAACACAATGATTTCAGAGAACAAATCAGAGAAACAGTCAGATTATATTGAATTTGGGCGTGGGATGTGAGCTTGAGTCTTTTCTTCATCGAAACTCACATGTTTTTCGGTTTCTCATATGAAATGAAGCTGTAAGATATGGTTTGTGATCCCAAGATTTGAAGAACTCGTCCGCAATTGAAAAAAATAATTGACAAATATATTTTGGGATCAAAACTATTGTCGAATTTTTTTTAAAATGCCAGCCACCTTTTTTTGAATAACTCTTCACCATTGATAGCTATCGAGTTCAGGTTTTAGCCATTCGATAGAGCGGAGCGGGGGGCATCTATCTATATGAGACTTGTTAGGATCAAAGAGAACTTTTATGGAACATATTTAATTGTTAAGAGTTTTCGTTATCAATTTCATTAGTTTTCATAGAGACTTAGGCTTAAATTACACTAAAATTTAGCTCGGAGAGTCCGGAATTCGGATTAAATTCTCAAAATTTTAACGCACTATCCTATTCAAGACAATGACCGAAAGAGCTGAAAATTTTATCACAGATACAGTACCCTCCGAGCTACATTTTGGTGTAATTCAAGCCTAGATCGCTATGAAAACTAATGAAAATTGGTAACGAAAACTCTTAACAATTAAATATGTACCATAAAAAACTTATTTGGTCCTAATGAGTCTCATATAGATAGACGCCCCCCGCGCCGCTCTATCGAATGACTAAAACCTGAACCCGATAGCTATCAATGGTGAAGAGTTATTCAAAAAATGGTGGCTGGCATTTAAAAAAAATAGACAATAGGCGGTTCATTGGAATACGATCGGAAACGTATTTGTTTGCAATGATAGTTCAGTCACACTGTAAATTTGAAAGTGTACTTACTTGTTGTTGTAGTTGTTGATGTTATTGACGTTGTTGTTGTTGTTGCTATTTGTGATAGAAATTGAAAGATATATGGAGTCATAGGAAAGGACGCTCAAGGCCAAGAAGCTCACTCAATGAGTTATATCTTCACTATTTTATACTTAGTATTCTGTAATGGAACCACATTTTCACTACTTAACAATACGTAATGGCTGTATTAAGAGCTGAATGAGCATCACAGCTGTCATCCAAAATAATTTCCAGTACTTGCATTGATAAAAAGAAACCTTGGCGCATATCTAGACCTGGTCTACTTCATTATCCTCAGTAGATAGCCTATATCATTCTTAAAAACTTAGTGAAAATAATTCTGCACCTGTTGCTCAAATTTCATGAGTACTATCACGTTTTCCGCTAATTATAGTATTTTCGTTGAGACCTATTCCTTTGTTTCAAGTGAGACGAAACACGTTGATCCTCCAAGTGCTCAATGAAATAGTCTATAGAAATTGTTTATATATTGATATTTTTTTCTTGCTGCTTAATATTTCAAGGTGATATAAAATAGATTGTTTCTAGCGCCAGAAAATCAATGTAGAAAAATAGCTGACAAAGCGTTAAAACAGTTTTCTTGTGCAATTCCACTTGATATTATTTGATTTTTCTAGTTCGATTCAACATGCTTTATTTCACATGATATTACAAGATTTATTCCACCTTCGTCTAACTGACTATAATTTTCTTATCTAAGTTTTACTATACATACGAAAAACAAAAGATTTGAAGATTAGACGCATTTCATAATTAATAAAGGGTGCTTCTATTTTGGTATTGCTACCTTGGAGAGCTCATACTATCCTTTATCTTTACATAACATGAGCACGAGTCGATAGCACGTTAACTTGTGAACATAAGAATACTTCGTAGAAAAATTTAGCTATACTGAACAAATATATAGCATTGCAGAAAAGTATGCTGTTTTAGTATGTCGATTCTTGCCTATGTGAATCGTTATTAAATTATGGTGAAAATTTATTTTGATTATCTTTTATCACTTACAAAGACTGTTAAGTGGTTCGTTTTAACAATGGATTAGTACACATTCATACAATAACAATAAAGTTCAGATGCGAAGATATTGATTATAATATCTATTTTTAACTAAGCTTGGCCATATATATATTCAAACTACTTACACCTCATATTCTATACGTTATTTAATGTAAATAGAGACCGTTATTTATCAAACCATAATTAGATCCTACTGGATAATTAGACATTAAACAGTTTTAATATGTATACCTCACATTAAGAAGCATCGCAAGTATTCCATTATTATCTTTCAGAAGATAAGTTCATTCGACCAACAATTCATGGTTCTACGTAAATATCGAATATGTGTTTCAAATCACTCTTTCTCGCGGGCGCCTAATCTAAACGATTCACAAGTGGCCTATTGTCTATCTGCAAGAGTCGACAACCTACAAGATTATGGAAATATTTTCACTTCTTCCTGGATTGACAGAGAATCAGATCGCAAACGCTGACAATACTAAGACAGCTTCACATCAATAGAGACCTTCTTTTTACAAAATTCTTTAGTAGATGGTATTGAAGCATCAACAAAGAACTATCGTAGGACAATTTAGAAGTCGATCTATAAAGTGCTTTTTTAGAAGTGGTCGATAGGTGCAAGACTGATGATGTTTGTTAAGAGAAACGTTACACACTTGCAACTTGTCATTCTTTGACAGACAAAGCAAATGGAAATAGACTAATTTAGTCATATGATGATGTATTTGAATTCCCAAGAAATACATTCGAATCGCCCACGGCTCTAACCAGTTGTTCATATATTTCAGTCATAGTTTATTGGGGATCATAGGCATCGACAAGAGATTACTTAAACGGGTAGGTGTGCTAAAAATCGAGTATTTTTATTTAGGAGTCGCATGACGCCTGTTCTCGAAAGATAGTATATTGTACTGTCGGCATAATCACACCATGAATGGTGGCTATTTGGAAGCGATGATTGCGCTCGAAAAGATGTCCTATCTATGGATTCTATTGAAAGCATTGAAGGTCTGTGATGAAAGTGAAATCTTTGTAAGAAAAACTAGTGCCATAGGACACATCTTTCTTTTCTAATCGCAAAATATCTTCCCACAAAGGTGGTCATTATTCATAGTGGCGAAACAGTTTACTTTGCAATTTCAACTTAAAACACGCGATTTCATTTGAATTTCGTCAAGGATAACTTCAAAGCGATTTATAACGATTAAAACTTTGTGGAGAGAATGCCATAAAAGCGAGACGCTATATGTGAATGTGGGTGTGAATCGATATCGGCGCTAGCCTGGATGAATGTGTGAGTGTTATTCTGAGTATCTAAATGTGCATGTTCGTATGGTTCTCCAGTTTTGATGTGGAAAGAGAAGCTATGAGGAGTCTTCTTGCCCTTATGAGTGTTTGAATGAGATTTCTGCGTTGCATGTGTATCCTATGCATCGACAGTCACCCACTCTTCAAGACACCTGGTATAATATGAGCACTATAGAAAAGATTTGACAGTGTTCACTATCGGGCAGTATTCACTAAAGAGAGACCCGTTTCGATGCAAAATGAATTTGAGGGAATTTTTAAGAGCGTTTATTATACGAAGATGTTATTATTCAAAATGTGCGCATTTTAAGAGATTTTACTATATTTGCATATGTTTTTACTTGTAGTCGATGTAGTTAGTGATGTTGTTGTTGATGTAGTACTCGATGTAGTCGTAGTTGCTTCAATAAGAATAATAGATTTTTGCAGTTAGAAGTCTCATTATACTTACACGTGGTAGTGAATGTACTTTGAGTTGGCGAATTTTTTGTAGCTAAATGAAAATTTGAAATGATAGTCTTTGGATGTTCATAAATATTTGTAAGAAAACACTGTTAAACAATTCATGATTTAGTTTGAGTGCTCAGTTCTTTAAGGCACTGTAGTGCTTACTACTATTCATACAATTGATGAAACAATAAAATCTAGATATCTCAACAAATATTCGACCATTTGCGCTGCGGTCTCTACCAAAGATGTACATCAATATTGGTAGATTATTCACAAAAATTTTCACACAATCCGCCATAAAATGATCTGAGATCGATAAGGCGTGTTTTATCTTTTTTATCGTCATAAATTCCTAAAGATGTGTGCTTTGTAAATTTTTACTCATCTGGCAAGTAGAAAATGCTGTTTCAATGTTGAAAGCATTGACAACAGTTAAACAC